GGAGAGAAGGAAATAACAGTGCTGACTGTGATCATGTTGAGCTTCTAAATTAATAGGATTTTTTTCTGCCCTTAATGTTTTAGAAAATTATCTGATTATGAAATATTAGAGCAAATACAATAATAATAATGATGACGAGTAATACCTTTCTTCTGTAGAATGTGTTATTCTCTCATTTGTTCTTCCCCGCAAACCATGTGAAGCTGTTATTATTGTCTTCATTATACAGATGAGAAAATTTATGTTTATGCAGTTTAAATAGTCACTTCCACCTATTTACCGTTAGTGTCTCAGAAAACCTTCCTGCGCCACAATTTCTTCATTGCATTCTTTACTTCTGCATTTCTCATTGTATAAATCAGGGGATTTAACATGGGAGTGATAATGGTGTAAAATACAGCCACCATCTTATCTTCAGAAAAGGTAGTGTCGGGACGCATGTACATGAAAGTACAGGGACCGAAAAAGATGATGACCACTGCAATGTGGGAGCCACAGGTGGAGAGAGCTTTGAGCCTGCCTTCTGTGGACTTTTTTCTCAGGGACACTAGGATGACTGCATAGGAGATTAACAATATTACAAAGCTCCCCAGAGCAATGGTTCCACTGTTGGCTGTCACGACAACACCAACAACATATGTGTCCGAACAGGCGAGTTTCAACACAGGATGGACATCACAGAAGTAGTGATCAATCTCATTGGGCCCACAAAAGGGTAATTGGACGACGAGAGCTACTTGGATACTAGAGTGTAAGAAACCACCCACCCATGTCCCTAGCAACATTTTATTGCATTTTTCCTGGTCCATGATGGTCATATAGTGTAGAGGTTTACAGATAGCCACATAACGATCATAGGCCATTATAGTAAGGATGAAGATCTCAGTGCAGCCAAAGAAATGTACTGCAAAGAGTTGTAACATGCAGCCCTCATAGGAGATGGTTTTGCTCTTAGCTAACAGATCAACAATCATCTTAGGAGCTGTGACCGAAGAGTAACAAATGTCCACAAAAGACAAGTAGTTGAGAAAGAAATACATAGGAGACTTGAAAAGGTTGCCCATGTGAACTGTCAGCATGATGAGAAGGTTTCCCAGAAGAATGACCATGTAGAAAAAAGAGAATACCACAAAACAAATTTCTTCAACCTCTGGGTTCTGAGAAAGACCCCAGAAAACAAATTCAGTTACATTGTTTACTTTTTCCATGGACTTAGTCTAGTAGGTCAAATTCTCAAGACACAATTAAATTATCTGGAAAAAAAAAACCATAATAAAAATCAACATTTATTTCTAACTAAAAACAAATGGAGAACTACAGTAGTTGAAAATAGAAAAATAGGTACGTGCAGCTTCTTCTCATGCACCTGTAAAGAAACTGATGAGTGTATTGTGATACCTGTATGTGACAGTGTATTCAGTTCACTTCAGATGATGTGACAAAGTCCAGAGAAATAAAGCAAATCCTCTAAGTAAGTCATACATCTCATCAAGAGTTCATCTCTCTCACTTTCTTAAATTAAGTTTATTGGAATGACATTGGTTAATAAATTATATAGGTTTCAATAAATATACATCATCTGTATATTACATTGTGTGTTCATCACCCAAAATCAAATCTCCTTCTGTTACCATATATTTGACTACTTTTACTCTTATCTACCTCATCCTCTTCCCCGATAGCCACTATTATTATGTGTAAGGCACTCAACCTAATATTAAAACAACTTCTATGTTTAGGCATATCATAACATTTATATATCTAGAAAAGTTCATCTTTTTTTGACACGGAAACATCTACCCGCATTTTCCCTTCTGAATACTTCCATGAGTGTTCAAGTAGTTAAGACTAGGTGAACTCTGCACGTTCTTCTTATAAAACTAATCGTTGTGTACTTGAATTTATGGTCTCTTAGTTGATATCAAGCTCTTACAGTCAAGAGGTGCTGCGTGTGGTAGGAAAAGGATGAAAATTATACAAACCTGCTTCTGAGATAATGGTGCAGCAACTCCAGATACACCATTAGCTTCATGGGGCTTCTGTTAGACCATTTGTGAAAAGGGAAGGTTTTAGTTTCACGTTCAGCTATCGTA